GGTAGTTGAAGATATATTTTGCAGTAGTTGAACATATATTTGCGGTAGTTGAAGATATATTTGCAGTAGTTGAACATATATTTGCGGTAGTTGAAGATATATTTGCAGTAGTTGAACATATATTTGCGGTAGTTGAAGATATATTTGCAGTAGTTGACACCACAGTGAGACTTTTACCACGGTGAATCAGCGAGAACTGGACAAACTGCTGTTTGGTTTAACGTCCCAGTTGTTACTAATTCAACAACGACTGTCAGATTGTGTCGCCAAACAGTTTGTAACTGAGTTTATCCCCACGTGATGTGAGACTGTGTAAACAAGGGTGCTGTGAGTCCAAAAGTTCTCACAGAGGTGTTATGAACGTAATGGAGAATATGCAGCAAGGAGTGTAGGAGGGGAATCTTTGGAGAGAGTGCAGAAAATGTTGAATTGAAAAGTGTGATAAATGACTTAAATTCTGCTCAAGCTTTGCTTAAATGCTACCCACACCCTGCACCTGTTGCTGGTGGAAACTTGTTGGTGAAGTTTAAAAAGTACTCACTGTAGTAGGAAAATGCTGCAGAGAAAAAACAGATCAGCACCATGGCCAGCTCACCTTCACAGATAACTTTACTGTTCCTTTGGCTGAATGAGACAGTTAATGACAACTGGCAGATGTCTTTGACACCACGTCACACCATGTTGTTTTGCTTCAGTTTAGGACTGAAATCCTGCTCCTTCCAAATGGCTCTGGTTCAGAACCTGTTTGGCTTCATTAGTTCTCTCAGATTTCCCTTTGGGTTTGGTGATAATTCTGATGTTTTATCCAATTTAAAATCTTTACTTTTGAGTGTTGTAAAAATCCGATCCAGCAGAGATGTGATGATCTAGATGTTTTAGTGATTGAACCAGACAACGCTGACGTTTTTGACTCGCCCTCGTTCTCCATACATGGCAAAAAAAACTCGACACCACTGAAGTTTAAGTGGCTCAGATTGAGTGTATTGTACTTGCAGCCTGTTTGTTTTTGTTTGTCTCTTGTCAGTGTGTGTGTGTGTGTGTGTGTGTTTGCTTCACAGTAAAGTCATATGTGTGATTGTTTGCACAGGGAGAATGAGGTCCTGAAGGTCCAGCTGAAGAAATATGTGGGGGCGGTACAGATGCTGAAGAGAGAGGGCAGCCAAGGCAATGACGGTAAAACACACACACACACACACACACACACTGATATGAAATTAGATTTGATATCTCTGTTCGACTCCATCTGTTTTCCTCTCATAAAGATGCATACACAGACAAATCAAGGTCATGCCTTTGTCCTTCACCTCCAGTCCTGTCTGTCCCAGACCAGTTCTGATGGATTTCTCTGGGTCTCCGGTGACAAACCTCCTGTTAATGCTCTGACTCTCTCTCAAACACAGCCTGTCTCTCTCGGCCCGGCTCAGTTTTTTTTCCCCTTCTGTTTTATTTTATCCAAACATTTTCTGGTGTAGACTTTACTCTTCTCCTGCCTGGAAATGTAAACACTGCTCTGTTTAAAGACTGACATAATAAGCCCTGGTTATATGGAGGGCAAATATATATGACAGATGATGAAGCGTGACGTCATGGAGGATTGGGCTTTGGGGGGCAAAGAGATAAATAAATGGGGTAATCTCAGAGGGGCTTTATTGGTTTGTGTGAGATAGAGGTTGAACGATGTAGAGAACTTTGTCATTTCAAGATAAGAAATGGCCTTTAATGACGGCTTAGGTTTCATACTGAGGATAATAAGAAATAGCTTTAGTGTGTGCTCCTCAGGGTCAACCAGAGGTCAGCGGTATCCTATATCAGGGCTCTGGGCTTTGGTCTGTTCCAATTCAATATGTATGTTAAAATAAAAGGCTGTTCATATGATTGTGCTGCTGTTGAGTAAAACTAGCTTAATTTGAGACTTGTTTTGAAGCTTGTTTTCAGTTCATATATTCTCCCAATTCTCAAACATTCAGTTTGTAACTTCTTATTACAGCAGTAACAATTAAAAATTCCAGCAGCAGAACATTTAGATAATGATATTTCCTTTGGTCTGTGTTGTCTCTGTCAGACGTTTCCCTATAAAAGCCTCTCTGCTGCTCCCAGCGTTTCTGTTTATTGCTTTGTTCCCAGACCTCTGCAATTAACTGAGAGACAGACGAGCGTGATATTATTAATGTGAGGAGTTTTGCCAGAACTACAAAGGATCCAAGCTGTTAAAAACTGCAATTTTCTTGTTTTTTTTTTATCATGCAAATTCACTCTCCAGATTGTGTGTTTCCTCTTCTGTTGACTCTGGGAAAGTGTTTTTTTTTTTTTCATTTAGGTACTTTGTGTAAAAAGGTGCAGTTACTCCGTAGAGTTCAACGGGCAAATAGTGTTACCACCAACGTTGACTTGTTATCTTGTTATCACAGGGCTAACGTGTGCAACTGGCCTTTAATGGTGGTCATGTTTAAAACATGACTCCTCTGTAGTCTTTGGGTAATCACTGTCAGGCTTGGCTGCCCAGTCCACTGCTGGAAAGACCAGCCGTGATGGGAGATGATTGTTTGAATCCATCGCTCATGAGAACGTGAGTGTGTGTGCGATCATGAAGAAGTCACCCAGTCCCTGTCAAACACTGTTGTGTTTGTCAACTCTCTAGCTCCTGCATTGTTTTTTTCTTTAATTCCCCCATCAGTTGTTATCTTTCTGGTAAATGTTGACATTTCATTTCGCCATCATTTGTACGCTTTTTTTTTTTTCTCCTGCCTTTTCCTCTCCCGACGTCCCCGTCCCCCTCATCCCGACAGGCGTGGTAATTCCCACTCCGCAGTGACGTCTAAATGATTTCATCCCTTGCCTGTGTTTCAGCTAATGATGTGTCGGCTTCCATCATCTTTTGATGTGGAATGATCATGTATGTGTGTGCGCTGGGAGAGGAGAAGAAGAAAGAATAAAGTAGGGCCAGAAATCAGAAAGAACCCCCACGTGCTTCTCCTGGACGATTACGAATCGATTCAGAAGTCCTGTGTTTTTCATGTGCTGTCAGAGCGACGAGTCCACTGACGCTTTGAAGGCCCTCCTGTCTAATGATGGCTCTGCAGATATGATCCCTTGAACGCTCCTCAGGCGTCCTCATCCCCACTGACACGCTGAGAATCCACATCCCGTCTTCCCTCTGTTTCTGAGATAATTACTGTTTCTACTGCCGTGCCGTGCGTCTCCGCTGTTTGTTTCAGGGATTTCCCAAACTCTCTGCTTATACTTGCAAATGAGCGGAGAGTGTGTTTGCGTTCTTGACGTGAATATGGATTACTGCTCACGTCTGTATCTCATTTGGAAAATAAATCTGCATATGATGCCGAGGTGGAAGACAAGTACATGTACTTTCTGTGTCACATTAGCATATGTGCAATCAGTCCAAAGTCTCTGAAGTGAGGTGAATGTTTAAGTGCACCTGGTACGTGTGCGCAGGTTCAGAGAGTGTCTTTGTATGTCATTAAGGAAACACGTCAGCTGATCCTCCAGAGAACTTGTACTCTGGCAAAAACATCCGTGTTTACCCCGAAATGGAGTCAGAAAATAAAAATCTCCAGGGAGACACTAAGGAGCTCGGTGAGGAAAAACACAAGTCTTTAAGATTCTCTCAAGATTTGTCAAAACACAACAAGGCTGTGCACGATCTGCAAACACTCGTTCCTGGCCTTGAACATAAATTATCTTCTGTTTAACTGATGTCAGGTGTTTGTGTCTCTTTAAATGACTTGGGACACATGATAAAAAAGCAGTGAACGGTGTTTAATATATTTTTTTAAAACCTAGTTAACAACGTTCTCTTAGGCTAAATCAGTGGTTCTTAATTATTTTCTGTCATGCCCCCCCTTGAGGACAGAAATGTTTTCACGCCCCCCCTCTGACCCACACCCCACAAATTGAAATACTATTGAGAACCTGATAACGTGTATATTTTTATCTGTACAAACCACTGTATGAGTTGCTGCCACCTAGTGACTGGAGGCCTGTTATCATTTATGCATTACAGCAGTGGTACACTTATGTCCAGCGCGCCATATTCCATTGGATGCCCCTCATGCCCCGCCCCCCGGCACCCCACCTCAACCCCCCCTCTTATTTGAGAAGAACCTGGCTAAATAGAGAGTTATGTGGCGCTGAATGATGATGTACAAATGTAGTGACACATTGGTCAGAGCCAATCAGAGCTGTGTGTTAGAGAGAAGACAGGACAAGAAGACAGTATGAAGCCAGAATCAACAGTCCAAAGATGTTTATATGCTGATAACATTTTGATTTACACTGACTCTCAATAATAGCATCCAAGTGGAGACTCTATTTTCTTAAGTGTTCCTTCCACACCTCGGTGGAATGATTACTGGTGTAAGAAGAAAGGATTTGTTTTCTCAGAGACCCATTTTGTTTAGTCCTGGGTGAAGGCTCATTGTCTCCTGTCTACCCATAATGCCTTGAGGATTTCCATTCTCTCAGGAAGAGGAGGAGAAAACACTTTATTGCCTGACTGGTTGACCCTCTGCAGTGTGACTGACTGCTTCACCAGAGGGGGGCGTTGTGGGGGGGGGGTCTTGGTACGGTACCTCAGGGCCCACCAAACCTGAAGAACCAGGGTTTTACCTTATATCTCGGAAATGGTTATTGGCTTGTTTCCCAACGCGGTGGGTTGAAATTGGCCAGAGGCGTTGTAAAAAAGATTGTCCTGCTGGTCTCGTGATAGGAATCAGGAGTTATTAACCTGTTATGCTTGTTGCTGGAGGACACTTGAGGACATCTATAACAGGTCAAAGGGCAGGAGATAAGGTCCCTTCTCTTCTGTAGCCTTTGTGTAGAAGCACCTGGAGGATAAATGGAGGAAGAGAAAGAACCACCGAGGTCTGTATCATACCAGTGTTGAAGGTCAGAGGTACATAATAACGTGCAGTGAACTGTAACCACCTTCTGTCCATTCATTATTTGTCCTCCATTTACACCTTCCTTCAGTGTTCTTGCGTCATTTGTGCTGTTCAGAGAAGACGTTTGATCAAGAACCGAGTACATTGAAGGGACAGTGGTCTCCTTTTGGTTCTATTGGTCTGTGGTTAGCTGCCTGTTAGCTGGACTTAATGATAGTGCTCCCCATATCTGATCCAGGCTGGGCTCTGGACTACATTGCATGCAGACTCTAGTCTTTTTTCTAGTGTTAGTTTTTCCTACAAAAATATTGATAAACAGGAAAGACATTTTTTGTAGCTGTATTATGCTATAACAGGAAGTCTGAAGATGGACCTGTCCATAATCAACCTCAGGATCAATGGCAGAGCAGGCCTTGGCTTTATTCTGCTTCCTGCCTGCCACGGACTGCTGCTTAATCCCTCCATAAATAAAGTGGCGGCAGACAGCAGCTTATTCATCTTCAATAAGGAAATGGATTACACGGCCGTTTAAAAGCCAATAAGCCTTCCTGCCTCTGTCATGGTCTCTCTGCTTCCACCAACACCATGTGGCCTATAATGAGTGAATGAGGGGCATTTGTCACCGCTGCCTGCTCTAATAGGAGTGTGTAACTTATTCATTACACAGATCTGACTTTATTGTCCCGTGGTGCCCTCGTATGGCCTGGGGGAGGTCATTCAACCTCACTGAGGCTGGTGTGCCAGTCTGACAGTGGTGGCTGCTGCTCTGTCAACCAGGTGAAGCCCATTTTCGGGTTAAGTATGTACACTTACATTCTGGTCTTCAGGAAGACAGTGAACAATTGTAACAGTGAACTACAACACAGGTGTCAAACTCATTTTCACCAGGGGCCACATCACCAATACAGTTCCCCTAGAAGGACAGTGGAAAATGTGCTTAATTTTTACTAATATACTTAATTCAATGAAATTCCAGTCATATCAATTTACTTTCTTTATTTAAAGTTACTACTCTTAAAAAAATATTTAATTTCTCAGGTTAAGAAACTTTACTGCGTGGACTTCTGCCGGCCACACATAACAGCTTGGCGGGCCGCATTTGGCCCCCGGGCCTTGAGTTTGACACGTAAGAACTAGAACAAGGAAACATGATAATTTAATTAATGGAAATGGACAATTCCAACAAGCTACCACCACCACCAGGTGGCAATGTGTCTCGAAATGTCGCTCGCAAAACTTTTTTTAAAAGCACTGTGTCTTTGTTTCTGTTGTCTGAACACCAGAAACTTGAAGAATACCATATTTATTCTCTGCCCATCCCTAAGGCTCTCATTGGTTAAGATGGCAGTCCCAAGCCAGAACTGATCAACACCCCCCCCACCCCACCCCGGCTCTTCAAAGCCAGTGAGGCATGAGTTTTAAAGTAATATTTTAAAAACATATTGATTATCTGCATTATTTAGTTACAGATACTGTGTTGTTTGTTTTTCTTTTTTTAGGGCTGAAGGTTGGAGTACAATCTAAAGTTCTATAGTTCTTTAATTCTGATCACTAGAAGTGACATGGTTTCAGTTTAGCACCGATGGTCTGAAGCTGGAGTTTAGATGATGGAGTGAGACAAAAGAAGGAAGGAGTTACTATGGAGCGTCACCTGTTATTACACACTGAATCTATAATTCAGCTCCGTGTTTTCACTCATTAGTCACGGATGGGCGGCTGGGAGTCTTTGGGGGATAATATGAGGAAAACAGGTCACAGTGGTGGGAGCAGGAATCACCGGGAATCGAATTGGTGTGTGTTGTCAGGTCAACTTTCATATGGTGTATTTGTGTTAATTGTCTTCAGTCCCTGGTCGCTCTCAGAGTGTATGGGTACCATTGTGTGTGTGTGTGTGTGTGTGTGTAAGGCTGAAATTAAAGTGTGCACATGTGCGTGGGTGTGTACCAGAGCGTTGTAACTGGTGTGTAAGTGCTTTATGTTATAAAGTTATTTACATCCCAGATGGACGACGACAAAAGAGCAATGAGTCCCCCTCCACACACACACACACACACACACACACACACACACACACACTGGGGAGACAGTAACAGGAGAACTCACCTGCTCTACCCTCTCCGCTCCTGAGCCGCCAGATTGGTGGTGTTTACCAACACAAAAGGTGTGAGTGACTTTTATGAATTCACCAGAGGGGGGCGTGTTTGTGTGTCGGCATGACAATTAATTCCACAGCTACAGTTTTATTTCATTTTCCTGGCACAGGAGAGGTAATATCTTACGTGGTTGGACACAGGTGGAAGCAAGTGGTGAACACACGAGTGTGTGTGTGTGTGTGTGTGTGTGTGTCTGTGTGTGTGTGTAGATATAGGTGTACTCACCCCGAGGTGACATATCTCACAGGCATCTTCCATAAGGGCTCTGCAGGGGTGTGTAACAGATTTCATCACCTTTACTGATCAGTGTTAATGAACATTTTAATCATCTCGCTGAATGCCAGCGCCTGCTCGGTGTCTTCACGTACACCTCACTTGGAAAGATTTGAAAAAGAAGCCGGTTTGTGTAACAGGAAAACCAAAGTTGGTGTTTTTGTGTTGTAATGTTTAGCTACACACTGAACGATCATGGTCTGCTGGTGAAATTGTTTTCTGATGCTTTTTTTTTTTGTGCGATAAAGAAAAAGTATTCTTTTATTGAGTTTGTATTTTGTTTTTGCTTTATTCTTTTTATTGAGTTTATATTTGAGTTTGTGTTTTTAATTGAGTTTTTATTGAGTTTCACCTTATTTCCACCAGGGGGTGTTCTCTCAGTGAGCGATAAATGAGGCAAACGTCACTTGTAGAAGTGTTTGGCCTTAAGTGGAGGATGTGTAGTTTGTAGTTTTCATAAATTATTAGTATTATTTTGTTATTATTTATAGTTCCCTCAGTGAGAGCTTCATCAGAGAACATGCTGGTTACAGTTGTGCTGAAATTCCTTGGCCCTGCATTGTCACAGCCGTTTGTTGCCAAATACGCAAGTTCCTTGT